GTCTGGGCACCTCAGGAAGACGCAAACCGGGAAACGATGGCCAGGATGGTGCTGGCGGGAGAGTCGGGATTGTTGGCATTGGGGGGAGAGTGGGCAGTGTGGGTATCATCCAGTCGATAGGCGGCATGGTTGGAAACCCCCAGTCCTCGGGTGGGGACCAGCCGTATCGGGCTTTTCGCCTGGCAACTCCGAACCGTGGCGAGGGAGTTGTCGTCGCCATCGGATCACTGTTTTGATGTGAAGTTGATGGTGGACCTGTTGAAGATTCAGACATTCGGATTGGTGAGCTTTTGCTTTGTGTCTCATCTTCTGTCGTATTTGCTGGTGGGATTGGTGATGAAGGCGACCTCGGCGAAAACTCTGACGCATTGACGGTAACATCACCAGTTTCCATAGGTGAAGAAGATGGTGCGCCATTTGACGCAAACCTTTCTTCAGTCACCACTGGGCTCAAACGAGTCCTTGTTGGCACTGCACTAACTGGTGCACCAAGCGTCACCACCAACACCACTGTCACCAACACAATCGTCCACCAATGCACCACGGGTGACAGTCTCAACGTTCGAGACACCGCCTTGGGTACCACCCGAGGCATTACTTTTGGCACCACCCTCCGCCTGACTCCAGACATCAACCGGGAGCCATGCTGCACCAACCGCGATTCCTTTGTCACCATCTCACATCACGGGGCGCTCAGTTCACCACTCCTGAGGAGACGACCACGACTCCTCGCTGTGGTCGTCGGTAGACTGCTGAGAGAGCTCCCATCTCGGCTGGATCCCATCCGACATGCTGGCAGCCGCGCCGAAAGCGGTCCGGCGGGTCGATGGCGAGAGGAAAGTGACCCGAACGGGTCGGACCGGTCACTCGCGGAGAGCTGGAACGGTGCGGCCGCCGTGGCTTACCGCCGTGATGCACGGTGGATGCCAGATAGAGATGATGAATTTGTGTTTTGTGTTTGTGGTTGCTAGGATTAGGAATTTGTAATTGTTGTGATTTTTGATGGAAGGGATACGTTTCTTTTAGAAGCAAAACAAGCGTATTCGATTTTACAGGAGGTTACGATCGTGAGGATCGTGTTTTGTTATTTGCTCTTTCTTATTTTTCTTATGACTTATGGTAGAAATTCTAATTGCCTGTAACAAGATGCCTAACCCACACGACATTTTCTTCGCAGAACGAGTTTGCACCTCGATGCGCCTCAGCTTTCCGCTGTGTCTGTTGAATAAAAACTGTTGAAAAACAATTTAAACTGGGTCGCAAATAATCCTCTTATGATTGTAATGAGCATCAAGATAATCTGAGAGGATAGACCTGTTCCTTTTTTCAATCAACAGCATCTCTCTCGACTCTCATCACTCTGTTCGCTGCCACGTCGACAGCCAGATTTAGCAAACCAGTTGTACAGAAAATGGCGCAGGGTCGCGAGGGACTCTCTCATCAGGCACCTCTGCAAAGAAAACCGGAAGAACAAGACACCGTGACGTACCTGACATGTGACTGGCCAGCGGCAGTTCCTGCATTGTAATTGCGATTTGGGGTCAAACCATATGACACTAAGCCGGGCTTTGACGTAGAACTGTAGGGATTATGTGCCAGTGAATACCTTTTAACCCACTTTATCACATGTTGCTTTACAGATACCGAGAAGATAACATCGACACGGCTATTCAATCTGCGCATTGATTTTTGATGCAACATTAACAATAAGCTGCAGAAAGAAGTTGAAAATGACAGATCCTGTCATTTTCCCAATGCAAATGATGTCGTCGAGTACTTTCTTCTGCGTTGATATAAGCTCGCTGCCTTGGCGGGATACTGCGTTAGATAAAGCAGCAAAGGCAGAGAAAAAAAAATGACAAGCTCACGGCAAATAACAAGTTTGCATTAGCGTGAATCGTAAGGCAATGCTCCGCCTTGCTATGAACCGTTAGCAAGCAAGAACCATTCAAGTCATCGAATAAGCAGAAACATGGTCCGATTGTGGACCTCGCACTGGTCTGAAATACCGGTGACCTTCTAACCCGGACAAACCAAAGTCCTAAGCCCTTGGTTGGGTTGGGTATCTTAAACCTTTGATCTGCGAAGAAAATAGTTTCCGGCTTCTGCAATATTTCGAGGGGCCAGGGCCCAATCGTACCAAATGCCGTTTGGTAAGACTGGGCCCAGGACTGATGTGAGACTTGAATTGTAGCATTGGGAAGAGCTACATATAGTGTACACAACTCACGTGATTTTTTTGAAAGATATGAGGCCGTTTTTTCATGTCTTTTTATGATCACGACATAAACAAAGGCAGCATAAGAAAATATGCACCGGAAGGGCGGCTGCGGCACATACTGAGATACTTGTTGAGATACATTGCCTTTGACGTGTGCATTTCTACTGACCTGTGTGCTGTCCATGGGCGCTCACTTTTTCTTTCTTTCTTTCTTTTTGACCCTGTTCTGATTCAGCTGGTGCACGCTTGTTTCAGCCGAGGCAGGAGATCTCATTGGCTGGAAGGCAGGTGACGTAGCATGACGTCAGATGCGTGACGTCATCCATCTGGTAGGAGCAGGAGTCTGGTGGCGGGAAAGGTAAGTACATATCAATACCGCCTGCTGTGGTAGTCGATAGAGTCTGTGCTGGGTGATCATGCACTTTTTGACGAACATGTCGGCAATGATTTCAATTGGGCTGTTTCAAGCCAGGTTTATGTGATTTCACATGCAGATTTTTTAACCATTGCAATTCTGCCTTTGTGAATTAATTCATCTCAGTCTTAGTGAAAGGGTTTTATGCAAGCAGCCCTCTGATTACATTATATCGAGCACTATTTGCTCTCACCGTCATAATAATTATTCAACACATCGCCGTGGGCTTACGACACAGGAGCTGTACTGCATCGGAAGTGTCGCTGGAGCGCTTCAAGTTTAGCTGTCCGGATTTCGCTTTTATTATGTCCTGCGTATTTTTTTCTTTTTAAAGAGGAGTTACCGTTAGGAGCAGCTGCGCCAACTGTCTCTGGCTATTGTGGAAATTCTTATTTGACCCTTGTCCTTGACAGAAGTGTGTCTTTGGATTGCCTACCTTTTTGCTTGCTTACGTTTCTTTTTTTCTCAAAACGCTTGCCGCATTTTGGTGTTTTGCCTATCCAGCCTTTTACCTTTATTCGGTTTATGGTCTTATATGGATCAAACATGAAGCCAGCATTGTGTGTGAGATGTGTGAAATGTTTTGCAAGATGTCTTATTATGAATCTATTTAGTCTGATTATATGCCGGATCGATTTTGACATGTTGAACCTACATTCATCAAACCGTTTAACAGCAAGTCACTTTGACAGCCGGTCTGCCTTACCTGGATTTAAGTCATTCCGCTTATTCGGTATTTGCATTATGCTGAAGCATTCGTCAAATGTCAAGGTACTTCGTTTGTTATGCTTGGGCACATTGAGATGAATTCCTCGTGGAGAAACTTTTGATATATTCTGGTGCATTATGCCTGACTTGTTTATCGATAATGGTGCAAGGGTTTTCACTCGCGACGGAATGAAATTGATAACGTCATCACTATGTTGAATAGGAGCTGTCAAGTAATGCTGAGCGTTTTCCTGAATTATCTGAAACGTCACAAAACATTGTTTGTTTACGTAGCATCATTTTATTCATAACGAACCTGGAACTTTTCGGCTAAAAGTGACTGATAAATGTTTAATGATGTTGATCATTTCATCAACATTCTTCTGTTTATGTCCCAATTGGGGGAAAATCCGTCAAATATGATCATCCGCAGCAAGGCAAAAGAAACCCGCGTCAAATTAAATCCACCGCCAATGCAATATGAATGAACGAACTCCTGTGAATTAATCTGTTCGCATTTCCTTTATCTTCTCGATCGTCCCTCTCCGGTCCCCACCCTCTCCCAGCCTGCATGTCCGGTTCTCCCTCCCTCTGTACCTCCTCTCTTCACTCTGCCCTGTTGTCGTGACCGAGGCGACGTCCGGACTGAGTCACCACTTTCCCCCGGTGTCCTGGTTCCGGCCCCATTTGCGCCGCCGCATCTTACCACTTATTTTTATGACACACTCAGTACCATACCAAACGAGCACACGCTTTGGTGCTCAACCGCCACGCCGGAGTAAAACGTGCAAAAACGCGCTGAAGAAGGCACAAAAACGCACATCGCCCCAGCACCGCCGTGGCCGAGTGCATCGGCTTTAGGTTTGCCCTGACCTCTATGTGACCATACCAGTGTCCGGTTTAAAAATGCCGCCCGGCGAGTACTTTCTGTTGATGCACTGTGCGGGGAACCTATCTGTGCGCTGCAGGGTTCTGAGCAGAGCCGAGACGTGAAACGCATTTTTAGTGTGTTTGTTCTTATTCTTCGCCTTATGATTGCTCTTTTCAGTCCTTTTTTGTGATATTTCACCTTTTGTTTCCATCGGTTGGCAGTTCCTCGAACTTGAGTGCATCTCCCAGCCGGCTCATTCATGAAGTTTTATTTTTTTAATAACTATGTCCAGTTATCATATTCATATCCTCTTTCTGAAAACGCATCCTGAGCTTCTTTCGCTGGTGACATTCAAGAGTTGCTTAGGGACAATTAACCCTCTAAGATACTTCAAAATGTTATGTAACTTGTATTTTGTATGCTGGACCTGCCGTGTACTCAATAACAATTGTATAATTATTATTAATTTGTCCTTACCCATACACAATGCACATCCTTATTCCTCACCAGTTACCACAATGTCCTCATTCTACCCTTCCCCATGTATCATCACCCCTCACTCCTGCTGTGGCACGCCTCCCTCCCCTCCCTCCCTCCCTCCGCCTCCTGGGTGCCTCCCCACCCTCCCCGTCTCTAACTAGGTCACTGGCAGCGGTGGCGGCGTCGGCGGCGTTGACCCGCACCGTACACCGTTAGAACTCGCTCCGCCGCGCGCGGGGAGGGGAGGGGCGGGCCGGCGCCGCGCCGCGCCGCGCGAGACTGCACCGCCCGGTGTGGGGATAACACCGGAGACCGCGGTGCCGCACAGGCCGCTAGCACCGGCTCAGCTCTGGCGGGCCCGGACGCGCAGGGTGTGGAGGCAGGAGGGGGGTGCGCCGCGGTCAGTGGGGTGACGGTGGTGGCCGGAGAAGGGTGCGCATCCGGAAGGTGGAGAGCCGGGACCAACATGAGATCATACCTGGTGAGTACACGGGGAGAGTGCTGAGATGGAATGATGGCCTGTTGTGGTGTTTGATTTGGTTTTTGTGGGTGATTTGTAGTGACAGGGTCGGTATTAGGCTTGGTGGTGCGGTGTTAGTGACAGTTTGAGTTGTTTTTAAGGGCTTTCTGCGGGAGTTGCTGGTTTTGTGAGGGGATTAGTGGTTAGCTGTAGTGGATTTGATGTGACCTGTATTTGTGTACCTACTGCAGGACCTCATTGATTTCATCCTGGCCTCCTGTATCCAATTTTTGTTGGCCTAACACAGAAACTCGGTTACGCTTGCAGGACGTTAATTTTTGTAAATGAATTGTGTATCATTAGATAAACCTAGCGTTGCTTTAATTTGTGTGGGCTTATTATTTAAAAAGGACTAATTTATAAACTTTTCGTATGTGCAATATATGTTTTGCTTTGCCTTGAATGATTAAATTATGTCCTCAATTATTACCTCGCATTTTCCATTGTTAATTTATTTACATTCTCTAATAATGGCATGCACTTGTTCACCTCTTTATCCAAAAATTGCCGAAATGTTCCTAAAAAAGACGCGTTCTGGCGACGCCATGATTGGTCACGCTCACGTTGTCATGGTAACGACGCAGCACCGTTCTGCGGTGGCGACCGATAGCAGACGCGTGTGACTGACATCCAGCGTGACCTATATATTATGTTAATAGGTCACAGAGCTGCCGGTTTATCGATGAGACGGGTCCGGCGATTACCGGTCCGGTTTCAGGTCGGCCATGTTCCCACGGAACATTTGAAATTGTTATCGATCGGTTGTGAGCTATGGACGATTTGGGAGGAATGTAACCACGGAACTTTGGAAGAGAGATTGACATGGTTGACGTGGATCGAGGCCTAATGGGTCGGTGCCCGCCGCGTAGACGGTTCGTAGGGTAGCTTATGGCGCCTTGTCGTTCATATGGCGCTCATAGGGTGCTCATGAGGGCAGTTTTTTCGCTAACTTACCTTACAGCGAGAAGTTTAGCTCCTTTCTAGCTCACGATGCTCAAAACTCAGCACTGTTCAGCACTATGAAGCATGAGAGCACGCCAGCTTGCAGCACACTGCCGTCGTATGCCTCTCGAAATAAATACCAATGAGCTGTATGCATAGAGAGGCGCCGGATCATCAATGACGTCACAGTTAGAGCTGCAAAGCTATACCCAGCGCCGATCTGCCACTTTTTTATCAAGTTTTGCTTGCTTAGTGCTTCCTTACTCTTAGTGCATCCGTCTTATTTGCATTTGATAACATCGGGCTTATGAAAGACCAGAAACAGAGCAGAAACGGGCACATTATGGTAATATGCTAAACTTATGGTCGCCATGCTTTAGTTTCAACTTATGGTAGCTTCGCCATGCTTTCATCCACTTTCTTGCCATTTTTTTTTTGTTAATGATTTTCATAGCGGCACACTTCACCGACATAGAAAGGTTTCTCGACAGCAATGTCATGTGTTCTTGCCAGAATCCACATCACCCTATGAATGTTTCAAGGCGCAGTAGCCTGATTTCACAACCCAGCTCCGTTCCAACTGCACCATTCCGGAACCGTCACGACTCCGGAACCGTCCCAATTCCGGAACCGTTTCGATTCGGTCGGTGACGCACTGCAGTGTATCCGGGTGAAATTGGCGGTCCAGTGAGTCATTTCTCTCACGAACCAAGTCACTGCCACAGTGGCGAGAGTCACTTCGCCATCACTTCGTCACTGGTATTTCTCACTGCTTCCTGAATGAGTCACTGGTAGTGGTTCTGTCACGTGGCTGTATATTTTTTTCTCGATCAAATGTGAATGGCGTGAAAGCGAGCCATTTTAGTGTGCCTTTGTGGTTTTGTACCATTACGCCTGAATAGTTTATTGCCCATCATTTCCCTTCTCACATTACTCATAATGAAGTGGATTCTATTTAGGATACTCAGCTGCCTCATACTTTTTGTTTGATTCTTTTTGGATGACTCGACTCCATTCATTGCCCTTCATCTGTGTCATAAGCCACTCTCCAGTGTCCATATGCTTTTCTTGCTCTTGATCTTTGTCAAACACCTCACACCCCTCCAAATATTTGGTAATTACATCCATAATTGTTTACACTTACTCCCCTGGACACAACCTTAGTGACCTAGCTTGATTACATCTTTCCACATTTGTGTTATTTAGTTTAACTACATGACAATACATTTTTTTCACACTATCTTCTTCGGTTCATCTCGTATCATCAGACACTTCATGACTTTGATGAACAAAACAGCTGGCTCACATAAAACAGCCGAGTCATGGTCTCGCTGACAGATTGCTTTTCACTTTATGGCTCGATGGACACGGATGTAAGAGAGAAAAAGGCAGGTGGAAAGGGTGAGAGAAATGCTAGGTCAAGAGGATGCGTACTGAAGCGAGTCCAACCGAACACTAAAGACAACAGCGAGAAAGTATGTGAGAACGAAGGGTCATGGCATCCGTTTTCCGGAAAAAGAAAAGACGGGTTTGTAATGTTCCATGCATTTTGTTCATTTTGGCAGGGAGAGTCATGGGCAAGACTTTCACTCCTCTTTGCATGCCTTGCAGCACAAACTTTGTTAGTTCATGAATGACGATTATGCTAAGAAATGTTTACATGCGAGGCCCTTCATTTATCGAAAGTAGCTGTTGCTGAGAAGCTGTCTAGTCATTATTCCGACTACATAATTCGATAGTGACTTGCAGTAGCTATTTCCGTGACCACACGATAACACACACGCACAGCTGCTGTACAGCGACAAACGTTGAAATTGAGAGTAAATTCGCCGTGCGTCAATCTTCAAAGAGTTTTTATCTTTTCTGACGCGCTGGCATCGATATGTGCTGTCGCTTGCATAACAGCGCTACTACATATCAAGTCTGCTTAATTTCTGCACAAAATTAGAATCCCACCAATTATTCCTAAAAACGTAAAAAAAGTGTTTAAAAAGACGAAAATTTGGAAGTTATTTCCGTTGCCAAAATTACTACGCGCTCATGCACGGAAGACAAGAAATTTGATAATCGACGACCGTTTTTTAACCAAAAACACCCTAGGACCATACCCTTGCATGTCATCTTTCAACCATTGTCCGCAAAAATATCATGACTTACGACAATTCCTTGCAAAAGCCACGTGTAAACCCGCGTGCCACGTGTTTTCAACTGACCTCTCCACTCCGCTGTGACCTTGAACTTCGCACACGCTCGGTCAGACTGAGTTCTTTCCCAGACTCGACGGAAGTGGTTGCACAACGGTGTACTCGGGCCTTCACCTGTGACCAGAAACAATGTGAGCGAGCTGGTCCCTCCGCACTCCTCACCTCCACTCCTCTCTCCTCCTTTCCGTCCCTCTTTCCCATTTGCCTCCACTTTGCGCTGAATAACTGTAATACGCAAATGGGTTTGTTTATGGTTTGCCTTTATGGTTTTTGCTGCAAAGTGAGCTTGAAGGGAGGGCGAACGGATGCATCTCTCTCTCTGTCTCTGTCTCTGTCTCTCTCTCTCTCTCTCTCTCTCTCTCTCTCTCTCTCTCTCTCTCTCTCTCTCTCTCTCTCTCTCTCTCTCTCTCTCTCTCTCTCTCTCTCTCTCTCTCTCTCTCCCCTCCCTCCCCTCCCTCCCTCCCTCCCTCCCTTCCTGTCTCTCTCTCTCTCTCTCCCTCTCCCACCCTCTCTCTCTCTTTCTCTCCCTCTCTCTCTCCCTGCCTCTCTCGCGTGTCCCAGCGCCGGTTCTCGTGGGCCACCGGGTCACTGTCAGAGGGGTCACACGCTAGGTCACTGACTGATTGCGTCATCACTCGACTCTACGAGTAAAGCCTCAAACGCGGTCAATCGGAAGTGGCTAATCCACAAATGGAGACGAATGAATGATTCAGCGCTCAAATTTGCATAAGTACCCTTCCTCTGTGGATGGAACGGCGCAGGTCGCCACAAACTAACGGCGAGCGTTGTTCCTCGACGATTCATGCCGACACCCCCGTGTGCTTTACCACAGCGGTACGGTTGACCGCGCAGTATAGCCTCACCGGACGGACGCAGACATCAGATGACCCCCTCGTGCTTACCGAATGAGGCTGTAGTGCTCACACAGCGAGACGAACCGCAAAGGCTGCGGCTCGGACACCGAAATCGGACAGTGGGCCTCGCGATGGGACGTGATCATGATCATAAGACGCAGCTAGACATGGTCGCGAAATGGCTAGACATGATCGCGAGACTGCTAGACATGATTGCGAAACTGCGAGACGTGATCGCGATACGTGGGTAGACACCAAGACACGACCGAATGAACACTGAAAACAATTTCACCCAAAACTGGCGAGTAAACCGGTGCCTCGCGGGTACCCCTATCCGCAACCATTTTTAACCACCCTCCCAGGAGTCAATTTAGGACATAACACTTTCGCAATTCACTCTGGAGAGTAGTAACCCTCCACGACTATTCGCGCACCAGTGGCTCGCGACCCCTCCATCGAAAGGTATTCATCGACGCCTACCTGGCAGCAGCGCCCTACAAACCCCTAGGAGATGGGGTTACCCTCCACGCCTACCCTTCGCCGACCAAGTCACGAGGGCCAAAAAAAAAAACTCCCACGCTTGACCATATTCGCGGGAAAATATCTATATTATAGCAATCTCACACCTAGAAAACATCGGTGAGAAAGTTTCACGTCGGTGGGAAAGGTCAAATCGAATAACCATAGAAATTTCGACATGACTCAGTCACCGACAGTCATGCAGACCGCCCGAGATCAAGAAGAAGATGCGTCGCCGCTGCTTTCGTGACCTATATAAGAATCAAAATGGTCTCACTTGGTAGTTTCGGAAGAAAAAGTGTTGCCAATCGTCCCGTGATGAATATTGCAGAGGTTTTAAAGATGCACCCTAACAATTGTACTTTCGCCCCCACTTGGAAACCGCCAAACAATGTGCCAACATATCATTGGTTCAAAAAAAAGTTAAAAAATTGTTGTAATTCAAAACTGTATGAGACAACGCCATCTAGCTGTAACAGTAGATCCAACTCCTTCAGGGCAGGTTATGTAAAGGTTCGCCATCCACGGATACGCGTTTACGATACCTCGAGTAGTTCCAACTCTTTCAGTGAGGGCTGTGCCAATGACTCGACACCCGCGGGGACAATATCCGGTGCTGGGTAGCTACCTTACTGCAAAATGTAGGTACAGTGCATATTTGCGAGTAATAAGGCAGGCAAGTCTGCTTACCCTCTAGCTAGAATCTGGACATGGCGAGTTAATACACATATACCACCCGCATAGCAACACTTAATTCGCCAGCTTCGGGTGAAATTGTTTTCAGTGAAGGATCGTATCCTTCGTCATACTAGAAGCTAAATGTAAACGTCAGAAGAAGGCAAATTACTAATGCAACTTGCGAGACGATATCAACTTGATGATGCGCCAAGTATCTCATGAGTATTGTGAGGCAAAACCCGGACTGATAAGACATAAAATTCAGCATTTTTAGGTATTTACCTCTGTCTAAAACACATAGGCCAGCTGATATAAAACATATAAAATCCAGCTGATATTATGTGAAAGCTGTGTCTGAAATTCTCCGTTCAAACTTTACGGGCATTCCTCACGTCAGACTGTCTGTCGAAAAAGTCTGGGTGGAGGCGACTGTCCGACGTGCCTCTGCGCGCATTCCAGGCGTGCCTCTGCGCGCTCGCGCAGCCCAGAGGAAGTGGGCCAGTCAGCTGACGGAACAATCAGCTGATGCGCAGGGTAGCGACCCGTTGGGAGGGGGGGGGGGGGGGCGAGGAGCTGGTCTGGAGAGAAAAGTGACTTCAGGAAAGTGAGACGCGTGGTTTTTGCTGTGACCAGGCTGCGGTGGTTCGTGGTTTTGGAGAGAAACGTTTTGGAAAGAATGGATGGAGTGAAATGGGATTTTTTCGACGAGACGGGTGATGGTCTTAGCGAGACTGATGTATTATGGAGAGACAATAACATACTTTTTGAAACGGGAAGAGAGAAAATAATGAACTACGTATTACACGCACCAAATCAAACCAAATCAAAGTATCCCGAGTCCAATTAGAAGCTTATTGTTACAAATGAAGCCAAACCTTTGTGGGACCCCAGGGCTAGTATGAACAAGCATGTAGCATTTTGAATTAGGCAATTAACACGCGCACCGACGGGGGGCGGATATCCGCCCCCCCCCCCCCTGAGGTTTTTCGCGAATAGCGGGAAAACCGCGGCGCGAAACTTGGTACGACTATTTTCTCATCAATTTTACTCATGGTGTGCAAGTTTGAACCTCCTAACTTTTAAGGTCAGGTCACCAGGTCACTTTGAATGACCCAACCTCAAGTCACTTTTTTGCAAGTCTGTCACCGTGCCAATGCTACAGTAGATACCGGAGGCTTTTGAAAGTCGCAGGATGTTATGAGGTCATTAGTAGCTACAATTTGTATATCTCGGAATTTTGATATCGGTGACCTAAGGTCAGGTCAATTTCTCGACCTTCCCATTATAAGTCAATGGGGGAAAAATCAACTCCCTGTTTTTACCACTAAAACGGGTCGGAATGGCACCATATACCATACATGACTTCATATACGATCAACCTTCACTACCTTGAGGTCTGTTTTGCTGTTGGGCAGCTGTAAGGTCATGTGACGTCATCAAAGGTCACCAGCGGTTTTTTGCCAATAACTCCGTACAGGAACAAGATACAGCCGCGCGGATGGTCTCGTTGTGTTCAGCTCGTCAAGACGCATCGAATGATATACATGATGACCTCGAGGTCACGTGACCAGAGGTCAACCTTTGACCTTGACCTTTCGAGGTCAACATATATATCATTCGATGCGGATTGACGAGAGGATCACGATGGTGCCCTTAGTTTGTTCCTATCTTGACTAGTTCTAAAGTTATTCGAGAAAAACTCGCCATATCTAGCGCCGCCATTTTGACTTTGTTGACCCCTGTGACGTCATCTTTGACCTGACCTGAAAATGACCTTTGTAAAAATGTAGACCTTGTCCGTGCGTATCCGATGCCGTTTACCGCTTGTCGCTATCTTGCTTCGTTCTCGAGATCTCAGGGGGGTCGGTCATCAGCCCCCCCCCCGTCGGTACGAAGTTGGCGCAGACCCCCGTGACCCCGTCGGTGCGCGGGTTAAGTACCCAGCACTCGCATCCTTTTCGCCCTGATGCTAATGTCGGAAGCTCGCAGTGGAGGAGGCAGCTATCAATGAACGCTCCTGAAGTACAACAGCCGCCAGACATGATTTTAATTACATATCTATATTCGATTAACCCTCGCCCATGTAGGGGGTGGGTTGGTGCACCCCCCCCCCCCCTGAGGTTTTTCTTAGCTACACGCCGAACCGTTTCAGATAGCCTGCTCAAATTTTCAGTACCCTCTGGGGCATCCTTTGCGCAACTTTTGTTTTTTTTTGTCAAGGTCATGTCAGGTCACGGAGTTATGACGTCATAAAGGGAACAACCTCCGGCCAGATTTACGCTAAATTGGAGATTGCTTCACATTGGTATAAATGCCGACTGACCTGACACACTGATGGATTGTTTTAGAATCACAACTGGCTGATTTCACATTGGCACAATGTCCGTTGACATTTTGAAGGTTACTAAAGGTCAAGGTAAGGTCAGTGACCTCGGTTGACCTGTAATGACTTCTTGCACTTGTATGCCTTTTCGAGGTATTTTGATGCCCTGAATTCGAATTTGCTATCCATTTCAGGCATCGTCGGTTGTTTCTTTTTGTTCATTTTGGGTCAGGGTCAGGTCAGTGACGTCACACGCCTGACGTGACCCAATGCACAAATGACCTTGCAGACTTCCAATGCTCCCAACGCATCATTTTTAGAGTTATGACATCGAAATACACACCAAACGATAGAGAATTGATCAAGGATCACGATAGTGAAGGTTTCAAGTCGATATCTCTTACCGTTTTGCCGCAATCGGCGCGTAAATCTGAAAAAGTTAGATTTTTCCGAAAATTTGATCTTTGACCGGTCATAAGTAGGTCAAATGTTGACCTAGGACCAAAAAACATACCACCAATCGCGAGATCTCGTTGAGAGCAATCCGTTGGTCTTTTCCGCTAAGCTCTACGACGCTCCGTTTTCAAACGCCAGGGGAGGGGTCGCACCAACCCCCCCCCCCCCTGCATGGGCGAAGGTGGCAAAACACCGTTTACGGGCGAGGGTTAACATTAACGTGTTGTTACTGACTGGTAGCTCCCTCGTTGCAGGTTTTCGGTGCCCTGCTACTGACAGGCTCGGCTCTGACGGCCGTCGTGCCGGTTCTACCCAAGACGCTGCTACCGCCACCTGCTGAGCGCCCTGAGAACCATCAGCTAGGTGGCGCTGTGCACCAGACTCTGACCGTCGGCTCAGAGGGTGGTGGTTCGGTGGCGGCTCGCGTCATCGAAATCACTGATGACGTCACCGATGATTGGATCAACGAGGTGTCGCTGAGACGGAGAAGGCGCGATAACGCACGGGTGAGTGAAATTCGTAAATTGTGATCATTATTAACTCTTGGTGGAGGAATGATAAGGCGCAAGGGAATGTTAGGTAACTAGGTAGATGCTTTATTTATATTAGGTACATGGTCTAATTGGACCGAAAGGGCCTCTCACCTTTCCATGCTTCTATCCTCAGGATACTGAAATCCTTCTCCTCCACACCGCCACCCCCTTCCGGGCTGGACAGGCAACTTTATCTCATGCGGGCTGCTCCCTTGGAGCGGCACCGCTGCTCCCGAGTGAGCGCACCCCGTAGCCGGGTGCAGTGAGTGCCTTGGGGCTGGGTGGCCTGTCTTCGGACGGGCTCAGCCCCGGCGACTCACTAGGGTGCCTGCCCAGACCAATGTCTCCCCCTAATTCCTATCATCCTCCCGGCTCTGCAATGGTCTTGTCGACCGAAAGGGCCTAACCCAACAAAAAAGGCCTAACCCAACAAAACAAACAAACAAACAAACAAACAAACAAAAGGGCCTAACCCAATAAAACAAAACAAAAACAAAATTTAGATTACAGGTGCTAACCAGGTGTAACCAGGTGTTAGGTAACCAAACCAGGTGCTTTATATCCACAATACCTACTTATCTAAACTGTCTCTAAACATCCCTCCCTCCGTTCTGTCGTTTGGCGTTTCCATACCAAGATATTCAAATCCTTCTCTTCCACACCTCAACCCCTGTTCCGGGGTGGACGGCCTTACCCAATTCGGAAATGTCCGATAGGAGCACACCCGTAGCCAGGTGTGGTGACCGTTAGCGTGGCTGGGTGGCCTGTTCACGAGACGGGCTCAGCCCCGGCGACTCGCCAGGGTGCCCGCCCAGACAAATGTCTCGCCTGATTTTTTTTCCGACTCTGTAATGGTTTCGTGAGAACGGAAGACAAAAAAATGAAAAAAACACATAAACAAACAAACTAACAAACAAGCAAAAAAAACACATAAACAAACAAACAAACAACAAAGTACATACTCAATTTAAATAGCTTGGAAAACGTCATAACTGGCACTATAGGAAGCCATTTCAAATTTATTAACCCGCGCCCGGCTGGGGGTCCTGGATTTCCACGCCCTGCTGGAGGGGGGGGGTGTTTGAACACCCCCCTCCCTTGTAAATCGGCTCCTGGGCCACGTAGCGATACGCGGAAGGCGGTGTTCGAAAGAGCGTAAAAAATAATGACGAAATCACTTCGGTCAATTTTTGGGTCAGGTCAAAGGTCAGGTCACCAGAGGTCATTGAAGGCAAAATTTCGCCGATTTCCAGGTCGAATGTCGAAAATTTCCAAGAAGCCAACGCATAACTCGAGAACCAATAGAGCTACAGCGCCGCGGAAAAGCGCATTCGATAGCCCTATTAACGCCCTTTCTGAGTAATTCTCTCAGATTTGACCTAACGTCAACGATTTTGCCTGCAGGGGGCAAAAATTGCAAAAATAACCGATTTTTTCGGAAACAGTTTTTCTGCAATAACTTTTGACCCAAGCCTTGTACGAGCTTACTTTTACCGGCATTGTGTTCCTCTCGTCAAGACGCATCGAATGAACTATAATTTGACCTTGAAAGGTCAACTTGAAAATTTGACCTCAGGTCAAGGTCATGACCTGACCGGAAAGGGTCATGTTGCATATCAGTCGATCCGTATCGTCGAGCTGAACACATCTAAGACGTTTTCATCGCTCTAGCATGCCTCTATCAAAAGTTATTTGCGAAAAACTGTTAGATACCATTCGTGACCTAAGATGACCTCAGGGCATAAACAAGGGTCACGGACACCATTTTCATATTCAGTGTGTCTAAACCTTTTGCAATTCGGTGTTTGGGAGTGTTTATAATGTCTTTGGTCCAAAAGAAGCGCATTTCAATTTTCTCCCATTGACTTATAATGGGGAGGTCGCAAAATTGACCTGACCTTAGGTCACCGATATCAAAATTCTGAGATATGCATTTTGTACATGCTATTGCTCTTAGCAATCTCTGAAAGTTTCAAAGCGATCGGTCACTCGGTGTAGCTATGACAGACATTGAAACTTTTGATGAGGTGAGGTCACTTCAAGTGACCTGGTGACCTGACCTTGAATGACCTTGGTCTGAAATTTTCACAACATGTGTAGAATTGATGTGCGATAAGGTGTACCAAAAACGGCGGCGCGGAGCGCCGCCGTTTTTGAGATATTCGCGAAAAAACACAAGGGGGGTGTTCAAACACCCCCCCCCCCCAGCAGGGCGCGGGTTAACCTCCATACCAGTCCCCTTGGGGCTTCATACCTTGCTCCTTCCATTAGAATAAGCAAAAGTCAAGGCCTCTTTTCTGATTCTCTCCGCTTTCAACTCATACCACCATCGCACCCATAACCCTATACTTCGCCCCATTTCCCCTTCCAAGTCACCTCCTCACTTCCCAGTCCTACACTTACGACACCCCCCCCCCCCCCCAAGCAGTCGCGGTATACCTACGCGACGCGTCTGTGGGTCACGTGTCCGTCGGTCCACGGTCACGGCTCCTGTATTCTGTCGTTATGAATGAGTCATCGTGCTGATTGGTAACGCTGCCGGCTGTCGGCGCGAAGACAGTTGTGTTTGATAAGAGTCGGAGCATCGGTGCAGTCGTTTATCGGTGAACGTATCGGTCAAGTGGTCCTGGCGCTGTTTGAAAGGCAATCGTATCACCCTTCTGACTAAAGGTGGCGCAGTTCATACCCCGTCAATGAGCCTATTCTCTAAGTCGAGTATGTAGTTCATAATCCCTCCTTATGAGGACCTTATGAGGAGTCGAGGACCACACACAAACTGCAAGCCATGACCACAACCTGCTCGAGTCGCGAAAGGAATCGGAGCGGGCTCCGCAGGCTAATTTAAGTCAGCGCTCGTGATAATTACATAGGTTTAATGAGGTGGTTTGTCATATGCGGCTGATCAAGCGCGGAGGGTTCACTGCCGTGACTTTTTTCTTATGCTTGACAGGATAGTGGAATCTAGCTTTTGCAAGCACATTGAACACTTCTCACACTCTCACACTTCTCAAACTCACAGTTCTCACACAATTCTCACATCTGGTAAAAAAGCAAATGGTCGTCTTGCCACGGCTTGCCATTATTCCTGTGATTGCCACCGTTACTTGCGTTATATCAAATACCTTGATGGAATACTTGTCATGCCAATTACCTGTCTACGGAGCTTTCTTATCAGTTTTCAGTATCAGATGAGAGCAATAGGTGATGTTTCACGACGTGATTTTTCTATGACAGTTCATACCTGCAACGAAACACCAGAGGACACCACTGTCACTCCGTCTCTGTCTGATCTGTGACTGCGAAAATTACTTTCCCACGATTTCCGCCACCCATATCACTCCATCCCCCGGCTCGCGCGTGTCTGCGCGTGAATGAATATATGTGTCAGCCTCGCTAACGCGTCCCCAATTCGTTGCTCCAGGTACAGCGTCAGGCCGAGTACGAGTCAGTGGACCGGTACGATGGGCCGGTACAGGACCGGTACAGCGAGTACCAGGTGAGCGTGCGGTGCTCTGTTCGGGGAGTGATGGAGGTGGAGGTACTAGTTTGTCGTTGGTGTGGATTACTAAAAAAGCTACATTGTTTTATTGAAGGCATCGTACTCGTGATATGCAGATAAATGTGGTTGTGATGTGCTGCAATCCGCATTCACTTTGCTCGCGTGTTTACACAAAAGGTTATCTGTCGCTGTCTTTCCGGTCACAACCATGGCGTGATTTAAAAGAAAAGATGCCTTTCTCCATAAGTTTATGAGCAAAATGTCAATAATAATGCACGCATTGGCAGTTGCAGTTGCCTAAAACTTTTGCTGAAATTATTTGCCATACATTCTTCAAAATGAGAAGAGGACAATAAAAAGGACTACACATATTCCGCTTTGTCTGCAATCTCTCCAAGCCATGACCACATTTTTCTCTTTTTCTCCGTACAGGACGCCCCTCAGAACGAGTTTTTCCCTGAGGACATTGAGGAGGTCCGCTACACAAACCCTCAGGCCTTGGACTCAGAGGCGTCCGCTTCCACGCAGGAGTACAACCCGTACCAGCTCTTCCCAGAAAGTGAGTGATCTCCGTTTAGTGTGGTAGGTTTGAGGATGTGGTGTGGTTGTGTTTGTGAATTTCAAACTTTTAAGTAGCGCTATCCTTTGGTTTGAATAGTGAGATCCTTTGAGATAATTCAGCGGTTGTCCGGTTATCAGCTTGAAGTAGTTTTGAAGTGTTTTAAGTTGCTCGGTGCTTCGTAGAATGCCTTGTTTCTTATGGCGTTCTTTCCACAGCTCTCGTCATTCTTTTATTTTGATTTTTCAATCGCACGTAAATGGGCGTTAAATGGTCTTTGCTCGGAAGTTTGGTAATAGGAGTTCTTTCTTTTCGAGTTATATACTAACCAATCCATTGTACGAGCATTAGTATGCAAAGCAAGAAACGAAAGTGAAATATTCTGACTTGCCTCTGCTCTGTCTGATTATAACCTTATGGTAAACCCTTGCTAACAAAAAATGTATTATCGTTTCCCAGGTTTCCACGATTTGCTGGACATCCCGATCCACGTCTACAAGAATGGTACCGAGGTTCGCACTCATGAGCGGCCTCCATCTCAGCCCGGTCAACCTACGGTCAGCGGAGGCTACGCCAACACTAACCTTCAAGGGTACGGCCAGAGCGGCTCCAACCGACCCTCGCCACGTCCAGTCTTCACACGGCCGACGACCTCTGCCACAAGACGACCCACAAGGAGGCCAGAGACACCGCCTCCACGCCGCACCCAGCCGCCCAGGGTGACCGAAGTGCCGCACTTCGTGACGACCACGCCACGCGCCAAGATTGTCACGCCGGGAAGCGGCAAATTTGGCGCGCACGTTCCCGAAGATCCTCGCCGACCGGTCACCGTCAAACCGTTGCATGAATTACCCGATCGCGTCTCGGCGTTCGGCTTCGGCTTCGGTGCTGCAGCTGGTGAGGAGACAGAGTCAAAGCCAGAGGTGCCACGAGTGTCACTGCACGAGAAATTGGCAATCGGAAGACGGCCGGAGAAAACGCGCAAGCGCGTGCCGTATGGACAGCGGCCTTCCTCCGATAGCAAACGTCCCTATGTCGACTGGACGAGAAACGAAGAAGAGGACCAAGAAGAGGAAGCCAGCACAGAGGGAGACAAAAACATTTCAGGATCTCTTTCAGAGTATTTCGCTGCCAACACTGATTATGCTGCCGCTTTCGGTGGTTTCGGCCAAAAGAAGGACACCGGTGTTGTTGCTTTTACAACCACCACCACTACCACGACAACGACTACCACCCAGCCGCCAGCGGAGGAAGAGGTGTACCATGTCACTCCGAGTGCCGTGGATCCTCCCTCCTGGCAGCTCCAATGGACTACCCCAGAGCCAGTCGAGGAGCACAAGAAGCCACACAAGAAGCCCATCTTCAAGAAACCGGTGTTCCAACAAGAGAACCTTCCGACTGATGTGGGTGTCGAGACACCAGTGGATGTGTCTCATCCCGAGCATCGCACACCGACTGATGAACATCAGAAGACGTTCGAACATCAGGAGAACGGACACAACCAGCCACACACTCAGGAACAAAATCATGGCTCTCACTTCGGTTTCCAACAAGAGCAGCACCAGCAGCAACATCCTGAACAGGAAGAGTACCGCCGCCCTGAAGTAGAGACGCCGCAGCAGAAGCCCTTCTCTCAGCCTATCGATCCCTATTCTCCAATCCAAGACCCGTTCTCGCAGGCTCAGGGTCCTTCGTTCTCACCCAAAGAGCCCGAGTTCAATCCCCACCAGGAGCAGTTCCATCAGCAGCAGTTCCAGCCCCCGACTCCTGATCTCGAGGCTTCCATCAGCGTCACCAGCGGACCAAACCTCTCCGCTGGCCCAGGCTCTGGCATCAAGCAGCTGCCGGGACCGAATTTCGGCGGCCCGCCCTCGCCAGGACCCGTGGCCCGACCTCCGCGACCCTTCAGACGACCTCAGGGGCTTCCGCCACGACCAGGTCGTCCGCAGAGGCCTCCTGTTGGAGACAGGCGTCCCATTCCGCAGCAGGGACGGCCGGCGCCACCGAGCGGGGGACGTCCAGTGACTGGCTTTGCTGGAAGGCCCCCCGTGCCGCTGGAAGCCCGTCCCGTCCCAGGAGGAGACCCAAGGCCGGCGTCGCGTCCGCGGAGGCCCCCGCCGACCAAGAAGCCGTCAGGAGGTGGATACCTCGATAGCTTCCTCAGCTGGTTCCGCGGCGATGAAGACGAAGAGGGTGAGCCATCGCCAAGGCCTCTTCTGCCGAACTCTCGTCCGGCGCCTGCGGATTATCGACCCCAGGACTTCCAGCACCGACCTCCGGCGATCTCCAACCGTCCTAATAATCCTCAACGGCCAGGTCTGGCACCCCAGGGCTTCCCTCCAGGATTCGGCGAGGGCCCGAGCCCACCGTTCACCCCGCCTCCTCCTCCTCGCTTTGTCCCTGGCCAAAGTCCCGACGGCAATCCTAGCCTCGAGCGCGCCCCTGGCAACTTCGTCCGCCGCGATCCTCCGCAAGGAGGCGCCGATCTGGGCTTCGGCAGTGGGTCGAGACCGTCTGACCAGTTTGGAGTTCTCCCGCAGTTCCGTCCTGGAGTCGCCGGAGTGCCCAGGCTCGCTCACAGAAGACGAGGGACGGTGCAGAGGCGGCGCGGTTCGGCGGCGTCGGCACGTCTTCCCAACCAGCAGACGGTGACGACCAAGACGACGAAACTCACCAGTGTCGCTCCTTCCTCGGAGCGCGCGTCCGAAAGTGTCACCGAGTACGTCGTTGCGACGCCGATGCCCACGCGTCGTCGTCGCCCGCGGCCGCGTCCGTCGGCCTCTCAAACACCTCCTCGACGCCGAGTTGACGTCGCTCGACCGGCCTCCGACGATCCGCGTCCACCGCTGGTGGGGCGCCCCACGGCGCGACCGGCAACCCTGCTCAACGAGAAGAGGATCATGGTAGTGGGGCCGTTCACAGCCCCGCCACCAGGTGCGCCTTACATCCAGCACCCCGATGAGGTCACCAGAGGAGATGTCATGGCCAGAAATGCCGCACCGACAGGCGAAATGGCGAGAAAGACTGCGACAGACTCGGCGCAGTCGGCTCGTCCAGTCGTGGTAGGGGCAGCCGCGTCGTCTACCAGCGTCGGCGCCAAGCTGAGCTTCTCGGCGCCGGCGGCAGATGTCGCGTCGGTCAGAGCGACCTCGACGCCCGCTGTGGTTAGCGGGAAAGCGGGCATTGCACAGGCACCGTCACGGGAGGAATCCGACTCGACAACCGTCACCAAAATAGCTAAAAACACGGGAGAATTCAAAGAACCCGAGCTGTATGGTGGATTTAGACCTATCGTTAACTAAAATATTTCGTCACTAGAGGTAGGCTGCACATAGCCAGTGGCAGCCTTACGGCATTTTTCATAACTGATATTCATCATTTAAAATGCAGAGTACCAACATGTAGTGAAATAGCTTCATTAGATGAACATTGTGTGTCTGATAGCACCTAGTACTAGCTGGGAATCTATCAAGTTAAGTTTAAATTATTGATGATATTTATTTGATGTCGCTGCAATGAGGCACTGATTGTAAATTGTGAGCGAGTCGCTCGGTGTTCTGTGCGTTTTCTATTTAGTGTTCATTATTAATCTGGCACCCGACCGCTGAGCAGCAGTGGAATGGTGTTTTTTTTTTTTGTACTGGCCAGTGTTTCATATGTGACTTAAGCAATCGCAGGTGCTCAGGTTTCTTGTTTATGAAGCAACTACGAAGTTACGTGACACCAACGATTGTGGGCGTCATAAACAGGCGTCATAAGCATAAACATCCACATGTTTGACATGGTTATGACTTACTAGTTACGACCAGCTTCCTCGGCTAGCAATGTTGATATCCAGTATTTTTACTGCATTAAAAATTATGCTTATATAGGCAGTTAGCTTGTCTTGTTTTGGTTTTCTTTGTAAACCCCTTAATTTATTGCATTTTATTTATTCTCAAGCCTAAAGGCTGTTGTTAATGTACCTATTTTTGTTAATTTTTCAGCTCAGTGCCGGAAGTCGCTGTTTTTATTTGGTGCCGACCTGCATGGCATATGGCCCTGGTCGAGCATCATGCTCTGTTGTTATTGTTTATTTATTATTATGTTCTTTGTGTGGGCAATGTTATGCGTATCTTGTGATCAATTTTACAAATAAAGCCAGAAAAGGAAGAACGGCGTGTTTTCGTCTGCATCGTCCCTTTTCAGTTGCACTAACCGAAAGTTGTACGGACGGGAAGAGCATTTGAAAATAACGTTGCTTATGTATTTACGAGCATATTTAGGTATGTACCTACTGGCACAAATGATACTTTGTTTTCCGACGGAATTACACAAACTGCTGAGAGGTTGGCATAACGTCACTGTTTACGTCACCCTTTGAACGTTTCCGAGTGTGATGTGTGACTGTTGACACCATTTTCGATTCATGGTAAATTTGCGGAGCATGGTTTCCCCATTTTTCGACCAAACGCCTCCAAGTTGCTGGCGTTACTCGAATTATCTTTGGGTAACTTCTTTTGTGACCATTCACCTTTCTCATGTCAATCTCCGTTTTACACAATTTAAAATAAATAACCTACTCTGTTGTAAGACGAAGCTGTTTCAATTTCATCATTGTCATGACTTGTAGCAGATGCCAACTGACGGGTCGTCACTCGAGGTTTTAGGTTGTTGGCTTAAGTTGGCTTAACAGTTGGCTTAACAGGCTTAAGTTGATTCTTGATAACCTTGGGATGAAGGAGCAGCGATCAGTGGACCCATGGCGGGGAGGGGACGAGTGCTTCAACAAAGCAGCTCGTCGAGTGAGTCACGTTTGAGTGGTTGGCGTCCCCGGTCGGCGTCGATCCGATAGCGCGGAACCGGGTGGGGGGGGGGGGTAGTGGGGGCAGCCTGCCCACACAAATCTTGGGCCGTGGGGGCGGTGCCCCCACACCTTTGAGACAGAATACCGCACTTCTACGTAAATGTTTTCTTTTTTATTGAAAAAGCCAAGGGATGAAAAATAAGTGGCCTAAAACTGGTGAGAAAACTAGATTTGGGGGTTCCTCAGGCTGATCTCTATTATGGTGTACCCCCCCCCCCCCCCCCCTCCAGTCTGAAAGTAGTTCCCGCGCCCCTGGAGGCCACTGACAAGGGTGTTTACAAAAATGATCTTATTTGACTTGCTTGTAACTAACTTTTAAACCCGCGCATGACTGGGATATTATTTTCCATAACGCAAGTGACTGGAGGGGGGGGGGGCTCTCCAGAGCCCCCTTCTTATCTCCGAAAGTACTGGACTGATCGTCAAATTTCAAACGGCAACTGATAGACATGGAAAAACTGTCGAATGAGACCTATTTTCATTCATCTCGAGGTCACCGATGACGTCACAGGTCAGGTCAAAGTAAAAATTATCAGCAATTTTGCTTGTTCACAATTTAGGCTCTCACCGCCGGCTGAGAAGTCTGATTAGGCTCATTTTTGGTTTACGCACTCCTTGATATATGCCATAGATACCCTGAGAATACCGAACTTTTACTTGGCATTGTTTAGGTCAAGGCCAAGTTATCCTAGGTCACGATAAATGTATATCATTTATCGGTTACGTGACGCATTTTCTGTGGTCCATTTGACTCATAGATTTCGAAAACAATGTCGTCTGTGTCATTTGAGGTCATTATCAGCTGAATTTACCGGAGGTCAGGTCACTTTCAGATCAGAAAAGGTCGAATTTTAAAAATGATTTTAAAAAATTAGCCTATCAGATGCAGTTTGAGCTCAGGAGCACGATGGTGCCATTTATGTTGCTGTACGATGTCAAAAACGTGCTGGAAGATGGTTTTTTGAAAAATACATCATCGTAAAATGTAGACGATAATGCAAATAACTTGTCTATTTTTGAGGATATATGGCTAAAACTTTCTAGAGTAGTTCATCAGTGTGTGTTCTATCATATACATAGATTCCAGTTTTTGCGAAAAAAAATAAAAGCTTTTTGAAATATATATATATATATATATATATATATATATATATATATATATATATATATATATATATATATATATTGTAATTGTAAATACATCTTTTTCGAAAATTTTTACTTTTCAAAATTCGAGCAGGTAGCAGTTTGATAGCTACGTGTATCCACTAATGGAATGAAATGAAACTAATGAAAAGAAATTGGTCCACTAATGAAAAGAAATTGGATCTAGCTTTTAAAACTGAGCTCTTGAGAGCGTATGCCGCAATTCAGTATTAGCCTTTTCACGACGGCCATCTGGTACACATTTGGTGCACATTTGGTGCAGATTAGGTGCAGATTTGGTCAAATTAGGTTTAGTGTATCTCTTAGAAGCTATCAGCTAGGGTTGCACTTATTGCCTATATGCCTCTTTGTCATATTATCAGAGAGTATCATCGATTAAACACTGAAATAAATTCATAAAATGAAGATATTTGCTGTAACAGAGATTAGGTGCAGATTTGGTCAAATAAGGTGTGTTAATGGCGCCCGCGGTCCGCATTGAATCCCTCACCCTTCCTTTGATGCCACACGTCAGCAGCTCTAGCTGAGTCGGACTTGCACCTCTAGCTGAGTCGGGCGAGTGCCGATGTGGCAGCTGGCCGCGGTCACGTGACCGAGCGTGACCCTTGTGCGGGCCGAGTAGAGGGCGTTGTTTTGTGCCCGGTGTGCTGAGGGGCGGACGTGTGAGCTGGAGCTGCGCGAAATGTAAGTGGATTCTGTATTTGAATTATACTTTGTTCTTTCTTGATATTGCTATAAACATGCTGATCGATTCATTAACGTAATATAGTTGTTTGTTCGAGTTTGATTTATGTACGTGTTTACTTTCGCTAGGCAGAGTGAGCACCGCGGAGTCGGGCTGCTCGTGAGTCCGGGGATGTTTGGCGGCCGAGCTGTGGCTGTGGGTTCCCCCGTGACGGACTGTGTGGACGGAGCGATCTTCGTGATGAGATCGACTTGTTGAGCGCCGGAGACGTGAACAGCCGGTATGTCAAACGTTGCGTCTGAATTACTGTACGAAGTTGCCCGAATTGTTAAGTGTTAATTAATCGAGTAAATGATAGCGCTAATAGTAACTTTGGTTCTAGAATTGCAGCAATATTTATTTCATGTTATGTTCAATGCACGGCTCACAATATGTCGTTTTGTTCGGACATGTCGATTGTGGACGTGATTGTGTACTGACCGGTGCATTGTCTGTGTGTTTGTGTCCGGGCAGTAACGGACAGTTTCGGACTGCCTCGAGAGCTGCAGACGAATAGAGGTCCAGTTGACGGCACAGCGTGTTTGACTACGAGGGCGCTCGGTTTGGCCCACGGCTGAGGCCGTGGCGGCTACAGTTACGGCTGAGTCTTCATCGGCCACGCCCGTCTGCGTCCGTCGGCCTCTCCGCTGCGCTGCGGTTGAGGACGCCAGCCCGCGGCCGAGTGAGACTGTCTCCGATCGTGGGTGAGTGATTCTGGCATCGTGCCAGGTCGGGAGGACGATAGAAGCCGGGTGGCCTGTCGCCTCTGGTGACTGTGCGCGGTGGCCGCGAGCACTAGCCCGAGGCTACAGTGGTTGGTGCCCGGGGCTACAGGTGATTGTGCTTCACGGTGTTTCGGGACGCCGGTGAATAGGGGTCGGTCAGCTCCGCCGTGAGCAGTTGGGCTGTTGATAAGCGATGGACGCCGGGTTTGGGGTGGTGTGTATTGTGTGTGCACTACGCTAGTAATATCGTTAGTGTTTAAGTAGTAGTATTAGTGTTTAAGGTGTGTGTTTATTTATTTGTGATTGCACAGGTTGTGTTATGCGGAGTAGGTGTTTAAAATAGCTGATGTGGCTTAATCCTGGTTCCTTGTTCGTAATTCTCCTCATCTTTTTGTCCTCTGCATTCACAATGGCACCTACCAGGGAAGATTTGAACAGGCTAAAACTGACCGAGTTACAGAGAGAGCTAGAGTCTAGGGGACTTGATATCACAGGTAAGAAGAACGAGTTAGTGGATAGGCTGTTTGAGGCACTGATAGAATCAGAGACGCCCCCTCCAGCGCAGAGGGAAAGTCCTCAAATGCCCCTTGTGGCACCCGAGTCGGGATCTGCGGTTCCTGATGCTTCCCTACTCTTAGCTCGTTTAAGAATTATCCAGGAGAGACAGCTGGTTGAGCAGGAGAGGATTTCAGTTAGGGCAAAGGCGGAGCAGGATGATTCGAGGCTTCAGGCTCGATCGGAGCAGTTACAGATAGAGTTGCAACTTGCTGAAGTGGGTCACTATGACGAAGCTGCCCTTGAGCCCCTGAGGGTCTCTACAGCTAGTCAGGCTCCACAGTCAGAGTCCGCGAGTGCACTGTCCTCGCAGGTGAGGCGTGCTCTGCTCCCTCCCACGGAGCTACGTCCATTCACAGGTAACGTGGAAGATTTTCGTTTATTTATGAGCGCCTTCGAGGCTCGTGTTGCCAGTAAGACTGATGATCAGGAGGAACTTTTATTTTATTTGGAACAGTTCACTAGTGGGAAACCGAACCAGCTGGTGAGGAGCTGTCTTCACCTGGGTGCTGCTGGATTCGTTGAGGCCAAGCAGTTACTCGAGACGCGGTACGGTAACACAATATGTTTAGTTGACTCATACGTTGAGAAGGTAAAGGGGTGGTCTCGGATCCTACCCGGAGATGTGGAATCACTGGACAAGTTTGTTCTGTTTCTGACGGAAGTAAAGAACGCCGTCTCTGGCGTAGCTTTGAGTGAATTCGAACATCCATCCACTCTCCGCCTGATAGTTTCTAAAGTTCCTTCTCACCTGCAGGATCGGTGGCTTAGAGAAGTAGACCGCCTATGCCAGGAGGGGCGCGCTGTCAGGTTTTCCGATTTAGTTAAGTTTTTGGCCGCTGAGGTTCGGGTCAAGAAGAATCCGCTTTTTGGCCTTCGTTCTGCCAATGCTGACCGCCGGCCGGAGGCTCCTGGTGGACCTCGGAGGCACACGGTCAATGCGGCGCACGTGACAGCGCCGGGGACTCAGCGCTGCGTCTACTGTGGCGGTCCCCACAGTGTGGCGGACTGTGAGGTGCTGAGGATGAGGCCGTGGGTCGAGCGGCGAAAGGTCTTTATGCAGCATAAGCTATGTTTTGGGTGCCTAAAGGCGGGGCACCAGGTTCGGTCCTGCCGGCGGCCGCTGGTCTGCGGCGTCTGTGGCGGGCTCCATCCCTCTGTCATGCATGGCGAACCGGGCGGGGGACCGGCACCACCTTGGGTTTCAGGCTCTCGGCCGGATCAGTGGCATCAGCGGCCGAGTCCTCGCGGTAGTACGTCTCAGAGGATGCAGCCAAATGACATGATTCCGCCCGGCGGAGTCGGGACAGCGGTGGTTCCGCACCGCGGCGGCGCGGGTCAGCCCATGAGTGCGCCGGTGGCGCCGCCTGCTGGTGCGGCGGTGGCGACACCTGTTGGTACGGCGATGGCGCAGTCCGCCGCGACGGCGGAGTCTGCATCGCGCGGTGGATCCGCAGGCGCTGTTGTAAGTGCAAGCCTTGGACTGCAGGGTGCAGGTCGCACGGCCCTCCCTGTAGTTGCGGTGCGGCTTCGTGCTCCAACAGGCAAAGTGATCGTGACGAATGGGTTTTTTGATCAAGGGTCGTCGGGAAGCTTCCTGACTGAGCGACTCGCAGAGCGTTTGGGAGTGCAAACTGAGCGCACGACCATCTCTATCGAGACCGTGGGTAACGATAGGAGGAGCATGTCCACTTCGATAGCTCCAGGGTTAGAAGTAAGCGCTCTAAACGGCGATGAGTTCCACCCTCTACCGCCACTATTGACTATTGACGCGCTTCCGGTCACCCAGGCCGACCGATGTCAGGGAAGTGAGCTAAAGGCTGCGTCCCACCTGGACGGTGTAGAGCTTCCAGAGCTGGATGTACCGGTGGAAGTTCTGATCGGTTCTAACTGTGCCGAACTGATTGTGGCGAGAGAGGTTCGTTCTCCTCCCCAGGGCGAGACTGGTCTGTGTGCTGTGCGAACTGTACTGGGCTGGTATGTGATGGGACCGGTCCGGGAAGCCACCGGTTCGGGAGAGAGGTTCACGGTGAACTTTCTGAGGGTGCAGGAGATGTCTGTTTCTGACCATGACGCTGAGGATAGTTTGTACAGGAAGATGTATGATGATGACTTCAAGGATTTGTCTGACGATCGTGAGCGCTTCTCTGTGGAAGCTCACACTGATGGCTCAAAGGTGGCCGAGTGGGCGCAGGTGCCATCCAAGTTGAACCCCGCCGATGTAGGTTCTCGTGGCTGTTATCCTTCAGGCCTGGGACCGTGGCTGAGGGGACCTGAGTTTTTGGATGGTGAGGCTGGTAGCTGGCCCTCAGACCCAGCTGTTCACGCTGAGATCCCTCCGATTGAGGTGAAGTCCGCTCCAGTGACAGTGGCTCCGGTGTCTGCCGGCACCGGACAGAAGGGTCCAACGGACGCTCTAATCAGTCATTTTTCGTCCTTTGACAGACTCAAACGGGCGGTGGCATGGTATCGGAGGTTCTTCTGTGTCATCCGGAATGGTTCATTTCGCAGGTGGTGCATGACCCGCCGAAGGGGGCTTCGGCGGCGTGACCACGTTGGCGAGGCCTCTCTGGTTGTGTCCGACCTGCATGAGGCGGAGCGTGCGATCTTGCGGCACGTCCAGCGGGAGCTCCCCGAATTTCCCGGTAGAGACTGTGACGATGGTCCAACTGAAGTGAGTTCGAGTAGTCCTCTGAGAAAGTTACGGCCGACCATGCAGAGTGGTCTGCTGGTGGTTGGTGGTAGGCTGTCTCGATCTGATTGTGTCTCTGAGAGTGAGAAACACCCGGTGATTCTCCCCCGGGATAGTCACGTGACACGATTGGTGATCAGAGAGGCTCACCAGAGAGTTGGTCACGGGGGGAGAGACCACACTTTTTGGGACCTGAGACGTAAGTTTTGGGTCATTGGAGCGGGAACAGAGGTCCGGAGGTTGATCCGATCTTGTGTGGTGTGTAGACGGGTAAATGCCCGTCCCCAGCATCAACTGATGGCTGAGCATTCCCATTCCTGGTGAGTTTCTGAGGCCGACTCACTGCCGCGGCGCCGATGGCGTCATGTACAGTACTTGGCTCAGGAGTTCTGGCACCGCTGGAAGCGGGAGTACTTGTTATCACTGCAGACGCGACAGAAGTGGACGCGTACTGCCACGAACCTGGGACCGGGTGATATTGTTTTGTTAGTAGATCAAGATGTACCTAGAGGTAAGTGGCGGATGGGGAAGATAGTTAAGGTTTTTCCCAGCCGGGACGGGCTGGTTCGAAAGGCTCTGGTCAAAACGTCTACGTCGGAATACCTGAGGCCAATCCATAAGATGGTCCTGATCAGCACGGAGTCTGATCTGCGGTAGACGTGCAGTGTCCGCGTCCCATTGTGGGTATTGGTTTGAACGGACCTGCAGCTGTAGTGTACGATATGTAGGCAAACATCAGGTGAGTGACTTATGTAGAATTCGTGTAGTTAAGTTTTAGTGGGTAAGTGCAGTGTCCCAACGGGATAATTGTTAATTGTTTGCTAGTTGTTAGATAAGTAAGGCCGTCAGGATGTTGTTTTGAACTGATGCAGCTGTTAGCTCGTTAAGTCCGTAAACCACTGATGGTGATTTGACTTTGATCGGGCGCCGTGTTCTGTTAGTTCGGCCGCCCTTGCTCCGGTCGTCCGAAGGGGGGAGTGTTAATGGCGCCCGCGGTCCGCATTGAATCCCTCACCCTTCCTTTGATGCCACACGTCAGCAGCTCTAGCTGAGTCGGACTTGCACCTCTAGCTGAGTCGGGCGAGTGCCGATGTGGCAGCTGGCCGCGGTCACGTGACCGAGCGTGACCCTTGTGCGGGCCGAGTAGAGGGCGTTGTTTTGTGCCCGGTGTGCTGAGGGGCGGACGTGTGAGCTGGAGCTGCGCGAAATGTAAGTGGATTCTGTATTTGAATTATACTTTGTTCTTTCTTGATATTGCTATAAACATGCTGATCGATTCATTAACGTAATATAGTTGTTTGTTCGAGTTTGATTTATGTACGTGTTTACTTTCGCTAGGCAGAGTGAGCACCGCGGAGTCGGGCTGCTCGTGAGTCCGGGGATGTTTGGCGGCCGAGCTGTGGCTGTGGGTTCCCCCGTGACGGACTGTGTGGACGGAGCGATCTTCGTGATGAGATCGACTTGTTGAGCGCCGGAGACGTGAACAGCCGGTATGTCAAACGTTGCGTCTGAATTACTGTACGAAGTTGCCCGAATTGTTAAGTGTTAATTAATCGAGTAAATGATAGCGCTAATAGTAACTTTGGTTCTAGAATTGCAGCAATATTTATTTCATGTTATGTTCAATGCACGGCTCACAATATGTCGTTTTGTTCGGACATGTCGATTGTGGACGTGATTGTGTACTGACCGGTGCATTGTCTGTGTGTTTGTGTCCGGGCAGTAACGGACAGTTTCGGACTGCCTCGAGAGCTGCAGACGAATAGAGGTCCAGTTGACGGCACAGCGTGTTTGACTACGAGGGCGCTCGGTTTGGCCCACGGCTGAGGCCGTGGCGGCTACAAGGTGCATTCGCCGGATAGCCCGTCGTAAAAATGGCTATTTTGTATAAAAATCGGCCGACATGAAGTCACTCTGACGTCATTTCCGGTCAAACCATGGTAGCTAGAAAGTTGAAATTTCAACACAAGGTGTCAAATTGATGCCGCTGAGGGTATCACAAGTTTCGTTTGATCCGTCAAACGTAGGGTTTTTGTAGGGTAGCTGCATCCCTTCTATCGAAGGTCAGATACTCTTGATCTATATGAGTGACCCCCACTGCACGTGCAAAATGCAAAAAGAAGAGGTGCCAAATTTGTTCCCATTTCAATAACTCGGTAATTGCTGGGGCGATTTCGCTGAAACTTGGCATACAGGTAGGCACTATTGGTGCCAATCGGAATTTCTTTTCTTGGAATTCCAATTTTTGTCCAATTCCAATTTGGAATTTGGACGGAATTCTTAACATTTTTTTTGGAAATTAATCGGAACACAAGGCCTTTAAAATTTAAAATTTTAAAACGGAGGCCTTTAAAACGCTTTTAAACACTTTTAAAATTTACGCAAAAAATGCAAAAATCGTTAAAAATTGGAATAGCCCCCGCTTTGGACAAAATTGGAAATTTACTTGGCAATTTCTTGGAATTGGATCGGAATTGGAATTGAAATTTCATGAAATTGGCACCACTAGTAGGCACCCACCAGGCAATGCATTTCCATGTGTTGCGGTTAGGGTGCAAATGCACGTGCGCACGTGCAGGGGGCGCTTCCAGATCTCGAGAACGGCTGGGCCGATTGCGCTCAAATTTGGTAGGTACACGGTTGGGGACCGGTTAGCAGGGTGCCATGTAAAAGTCAGCTTGAGCCCCATTTGCACGTGCGCACGTGCAGAATGCCGCTTACAGATCTCAGGAACGACTGGACCGATTGCGTTCAAATCTGGCACACCGCTAGCGACCGGTTAGAAGGGTGCTTTGCACAAGCCCGATGGAAGTACCCTCTCGCCCTTCCGCACGTGCAGGGCTCGCTCGCTCGTTCTTCGCCCAAAAGGCGTTTTACTGTTTATTATACTGCATTCGGGGTCTCACAGGGCTACTGCACTGCGGCTTAGAACTGTTTCAGAATGGCCTTCCATGTTCACTGCGCGTGTGCAACCGCAACCAAATTCACTAGGAAAAGTTAACTGACTCCAGTATTAGCTATCACACACCAATCAGTACCCATATAAATATCTGGCTACGTAGGATGTAGATTTTTTTACCACATGGTTTGATGGTTTTGTAGATTTTTTTACCACTGAAGCAAAAATTTACACGAGCGAGCGAGCGCAGCGAACAAAGCGAGGTCTTTCAATTTTAACGTAAAAATCTCAGTATGAACGGCCCGGTTCGACCCAGTGTAACGCTTTTGAAAGGATTATAACCAAGCAACCGCTGGGCCGATTTATTTGCGGTAATTTTTATCCCGGCAGTTGCTGGGGTATTTCGCCACCCACCGTTTGCTGGGGGGGGGGGCGTTAAACGCCTCAAGCCGATAACTCGAGAACCAATAGGCGCAGTGAAACGCACGAGGCGGCAAACGAAAGAACGCGACAAGACGCTTCAGATGAGTACTTTAAAGTTGAATTTTGAGGTCACAGGTCGGGTCAAGGTCAGGTAAAACACCTGGAATCGGGCTTTCAGTAGCATGGACTTCAGGACTTCGCAATGGACGCCTCTCGTCATAAACTCTGTCAAAACGGTGCAGAATCCTTCATATAAGGCCTACAAGAGTGTCAGCTCCATGTAGGGGTCAGTCAAGCATAGGTCAGGGTCAAGGTAAGGTCAACCGGGTAGGCACATATCCCCGAAAATCAAAACTGATATTCGCAGCCTGTGACACATGTTTTATGGGCAATTTTGGGCGAAGAAGACGATGGTGACATTCATTTTATCAAATGTGTACGTGTTTGGCTCAAAAAGCTCAATTTAAGAAATGCATGCATCATGGTCGTGAAGAAGTCACGAGAAATTGCCAAGATTCAGTTCAATATTTTGGAAAATGCGGAACGATGATCAATAATCGAAGATAGACATTTGATTGCTCATGGTATTGGCAGTTTAATGGCGTTTACGGCATGTCTGTATGTATATTCTGTGATTTTATATGATTTTTGAACATATGCCGTTTTTGGTCGAAAACGCAGAAATAATGACGTCACTAAAACCTCGATATCTCAAAAATTTTCAGACCAATTTTTTTTAACCTTGTCACAATAAACTTCAATCAATTCCCTACATGTAACCAACTTTTGGCGGGCCTGCGGCGCGCCGTTGTTATGCTATGGCCCGGCGAAAAAAGTGGACGCCCCCCCCCCCCCCCAGCAACTCGCGGGTTTTAGGGGAGCTTCATTTCCCCTTCCAAGTATTGGACTATTTTCGATACATGAGGGTGACCCCCCTTATGCCCGTGCCACGTGCAAAACGAAGAGGCAGAGGTGCACAAACCTTCCTACTTGCCTACAATGTAGGAGACAGGAAAGAGCCGAAGAGGGTAGCTGCGAGACAGATTTCAGTTTGTGTTTTCTGTACAAAAATGACTATAAAAACAGCTAACTGGTAGCAATTGGTCGGTACAATCAGCTGTCAACGGCATTTGGTCATTACATTTCTTTACGTGTCTTCAAAAACAGTTCCTACAAATCTCCTCCATGAGACACCCACGAGACAGTTCCCATTGGATTAACATTGTGTCTCATGAGACACCGTGTAGGTAAAATGTAGGATGAAAAACTGCGAAAGTGGTGGGCATGTTTCGAAAAACGGCGCACAGATTCTTGGGGCGTCTTAACAAAACTCCTGTTCGAAAATGAGTTCTGGTAAAGTTTCGTCAGCTGGTTTCCATAGCAACCGCCATTCGTGGGACAAGCTGACGCCATTTGCTAGCGCGTTGCGTGGTAACCAGCTATTGGTGTCAGTTGAATTTGAAAGATAATTGTAACAGTGAACAGCTCGCTTCCGTTGCTGTACTGTGCTGTGGATGTGTGTCTTGTGCAGTGTAAGCAAAGTGTATAAGGACTTTCACATTATATTTTGTGATGTGATGGTGTGGTAATAGAAGGTTGTGAGCTCCAAGTGGAGTTAAGGAATTACCAAAGAAATGAAAACTCTGCATGGGCCGGAAATCTGCAGCCTGCACTTCCATAAACTCTTCATAAGAGGTTCGTGGCAGGGGGTATTTTGGGGAGCGATTATGGAGGTGCTGGTAAGTAGGTAGGTACCCAACCTAGTTGGCTTGATGAGAACTGAAACTGAAAGTCAACTGAATCGTGAAATTGCTTTACGATAGCACTTCTACTTTTTTTTTAATTTTCCATTCATTCTGATTGATAAAGAACAACATTGAAAGATGCTAACATGCAGGTAACTACCTACCTAGCTCTAATGTAAATAGGTACCTAATAATTTCCTTCAAAAGAATATATGGCTCTTCAATGTACTAGAGATTTAGTAATTGAAGGCATCTCACTACATTTTGAACATTACCTAGGTATAACTTCCCTAAACTGCATGACAAATTTTCAATTTCCTTGTTGTAACACCAATACCACAAACATTCATCTGGGCACAAGGCTCACAACATCAAATTATTCATGTTTTATAGACAGGTACCTATACAGCAAAAATGCAACAGATATGTGATTATTTTAAACATAGGCTTTGTGTTCAGTTGTATATATAATAA